AATCCTATATTGTTGCAATAAACATGCTTTTGAATTTAATTGACCACTTTGTCAAGCAGTTTTGGCGTGACTTTCTACTAGCGATTTCACAAAACTGGACCAACTAATTTCTATTTTTTGTGAAACGCACAAATTTTGGCTACTTTTCTCGAGGTTCTAGAAGAAGAATTCTTAAAATAATGTTTCATTTCAAAGTTCGAGTGGTACAGGGTGCGTGACGAATTTTTGCAGTAAATGGCATATTTGAGAAAAAATACACCAGTTAGTTATTCTAGCAATGAATTTTGTGCGATTTATTTTCTTTCGCAACATACGGAAGTTGTAAGTAAATTTATTCAAAAAAATTGCCTTCCCTTTCGACGACTGTAGTTAGACGCTTCCGGAAACTGCAGTATGCACGTTTTAAAATGTTTCGATCCATAGATGTCATCACTGCCTTGATTTTAGCTTTTAGCGACTTAAGTGTGGTGTGAGGGGTTCTATTGGTATCCCGTTGGACGAAGCCCTATACAAAATAAACCAACGGATTGATATCGGGACTGCTTGGGGGCCAAATTTCTTCCTCCCAAATTTACGAAATATTTTCCGTAAGCCATTTCTGTGCTTTATTAGCAGTATGAGCAGGTGCTTCGTCTTATCACTTTCCCAAGCCTTTTTTAATATTATACACTGTTCTTTCAGACACATTTACCGACCGAATTATTTCTTTCATGCATACTCCGGCGCGCAACAAAGCGACAACGGCTGACAGATTGCTCTCTTGTTTCGACATCTTTACGTTTACTCAACATTGTTTGTTTAAATCTTACACCTAACAGCATAAGCTATCCAATGCTGCCAAATATATCTAAATCATGATGCACAAGCATGAGAAATTACTATTTGAAATTTACTGCAAAAATTCGTCACGCACCCTGTAGTAAACGTCATTTTATCTGCTCGAATGAAGTGGTTAATTCAAACATGAATATTTTAGTTTCAAACATGCTTTCAAATTACTTTGAATAATTCATATGTTTGAAGTATAAATATTTATATTTTTATTTTAAATGAACAAAATTCGTATCCGTGAAGGAAAATAGCAAAGGAACATGGGATCAGTGAAGATCGTAAAGGAAGATTGCGGGGCGAAGTCGAGGGCACGGAAAAAACTCACATGATTATCAACCATGGTAATTATCCGGGAGAGAGCTACGAGTCGAACGATGCAAGAAAATCTTGAACTTCCTTCTTTGCGTGCCTAACGTCTAAATTTACATAGATTTCAAAATTCTATTAGCTCTATAAACATAATTTCTCAGGTTTTTTCTTCACCACAAATTGCATTTTGTCGAGAATCTATTGAAATTTTTGAATTCATCTGAAAATATTTGGATCAATACATGGTTCCGGAGTTATTCCGGTTTCAGTTGGGGTCACCTTTGGTCGGCATTCGGCTTTACTGTTCTGTTATAAGTATACACACGATGAAAATCATGTTTTTTCTCCCAAATGATGTAATTGGACCAATGGCACCTATACTGACGGTCCACGATCACATTAGGCATCCCGGAAATGTTCCGTTGCCCCCGGGGAAGTGGCCAATTCTCAACAAGAACCAAAACCCATCGTGCGACATATCAAAATTCATGATTTTACAAATCTTGGCCTGTACTGACCTCAATGAGACTCGACGGTCACACTAGCCCTCCCGGGCATGTTCCGGTGTCCCCGGGCAAGTGGCCGATTCCACAAGAACCAAAACACGTCATGCGACATATCAAACTTTATGATTCTGCTGAACTCGGCCAGTAATGGTCTTTTTGAGAGCCCACGATCCCATTGACCCTCCCTGGCATGTTCCGGAGTCCCCGGGTATATTTTAAATTATCGAGTCGACAAGAACCAAAATCCGTCGTGCGACATATAAAACTTATATACTAAGATTATTTCACAGATTTCTGTAAAATTTTACCGAAATCTCAACAGCCGAACGTTCGGTAAACAGTTTTACAGTTTTCCTGTAATTTTGTACACAGATCTGTAAAAAAAAATCACAGATATTTGTGAAAAAGTACAGGAAATTTGTGAAACTGTTTACCGAACGTTCAACTGTTGAGATTTCGGTAAAATTTTACAGATATCTGTAAAAAATTCTAAGTGTGTAGGACTTGCATATATATGTTATCTACTTGCAAGTTGTGTATAATGTAAGAATCTTCTTCAATCTCTTGATTTGTTTTCCGTCGATCTTGTTTTCCGTACTGAGTACCAATGCTTTCGACACCGGGGAGGCAGCTGCGACCCAGCTCATGGACCGAGGACCAATGGCTTTACTTCCCTTCCGAGAAAGACGATTTTTTGCTTCAGAAAATCCCGACGGTGCCGACTGGGATTGAGCCCAGGCCCATTGGGGTGAGAGGCAATCACGCTTACCACTACACCACCGCTGCTTATTATAGGAAATTCTAATAGGACAATTTTATTAGCAAAAAGCAAAATGTTCTCAAATTTTGGGAGAATGATCAGGACTTGAGTTGGAAACGATTGAGTGGGGTGGAGCATTATCACCCTAATGCACATTTGTAACAAGTAAAACAATATTCGTTATGACTGGACTGGTCGTTTTCCACACACAACTTATTACATTTTGTTCTAATTTAGTGATCTGACCAAGGATAAGGTAAGGCTTTCACATACATGTACAGCTTTCCCTCGAAGAACGCGGTACCCACCGAGTTGCACCCACCGATTTGTCTCGGTGGGTTTTCAACCAAGCGCTCTGATTTTCTGCGAGTGACTAGTCCTCCATTGACCCTACTCACATGCAAAATATCAGACCGACTGGTTGAAACCCCGCCGAGATAAAGCAGTTGGTGCAACTCAGTGGGTAATGCGTTCTTCGGGGATAGCTGCGTAGAAATGAAAAAAAAAGAAAAAAAAACTCAGTTTTTCCGTGAGAAAACATAATGACAAATATATTGTTTTGCGAATGCCATTTTTTATCGACTTACCTTGAATGTTTCGTTAAAAAGTTATGAGTTTGGCCATTAAAAAAGTTTAGCTCATAATATTCACATACAGTAAACCCACCATATAAAGGGTGATACGGTCAAAATTTGGTCAAGGGAAAACGCGTGTAAATCGGTGAAATCGTTTATTTAAAAAATCAAATTAAATTTCTTTTTCAAGTTCAATTAGTATAAAATTCAGGAAAAATATTCGGTTAGGCTTCCGCTTTTTCAAATCCGAATTGCCGGGCCTTACGCTTGACCCCTGCCATCAGATTTTGTACAGCCACCTTGTCCACCTTCTTCGCCGCAGAAAGCCAGTTTGCCTTGAACTGCTGCTCGCCCTTAGCAGTTTTTTTGGTCTTCTTTAGGTTCCGCTTGACAATAGCCCAGTATTTCTCAATTGGGCGGAGCTCTGGCGTGTTGGGAGGGTTCTTGTCCTTGGGAACCACCTGCACGTTGTTGGCGGCGTACCACTCCATGGCCTTTTTACCGTAATGGCAAGATGCCAAATCCGGCCAAAACAGTACGGAACAACCGTGTTTCTTCAGGAAAGGCAGCAGACGTTTATTCAAACACTCTTTCACGTGAATTTCTTGGTTGACAGTCCCGGAAGCTATGAAAATGCTGCTTTTCAAGCCACAGGTACAGATGGCTTGCCAAACCAGATATTTCTTTGCGAACTTTGACAGTTTCATGTGCTTGAAAACATCTGCTACCTTTCCCCTTCCTTTTGCCGTATAAAACTCCTGTCCCGGAAGCTGCTTGTAGTCGGCTTTGACGTAGGTTTCGTCGTCCATTACCACGCAGTCAAACTTCGTCAGCATCGTCGTGTACAGCCTCCGGGATCGCGCTTTGGCCGTCGTATTTTGTTTATCATCGCGATTTGGAGTCACTACCTTCTTGTAAGTCGATAGTCCGGCTTGTTTTTTGGCTCGATGCACGCTTGTAGACGATACACCCAGCTTATTTGCGGCATCTCGGAGAGAGAGGTTAGGGTTTCGCTTGAAACTACCGGCAACTCTCTTTGTCGTCTCAGCGGCTTCCGGTTTTCGATTTCCCCCCGATCCAGACTTCCTGGCTGTCGACAAACGTTCCCCAAACACTTTAATTACATTTGTAACGGTTGATTTGGCAACTTTTAGCGATTTTGCCAACTTTGCGTGCGAGTAGCTCGGAATTTTCGCGATGCGCGAGCAAAATTTTGATACGCTGCTCTTCTTGCTTGGACGGCATTTTGACAACTGAAGAGTGAATTCCAAAATCCAAATAGGAGCAACATTCTACACACACACACCTTCAAAATGAGGGGTGTTCAGGTTTTTTAAATGCAAAATTGAAAGAAATACGTCAAGTTGATATTGACCAAATTTTGACCGTATCACCCTTTATGCGCTGGGTGGTACCGTCCACCCGTCCTGTAGATAACTAGTTTATAGTTGACACTAATCACATACTAAAAATCTGCGTAATTGGTTGATGGATAGCCGAGAAACAGCGGTGGGTGGACGGTACCACCCACCGCATATGCCGAAGGATTACTTTATTTTGAATAAACGAAACGGATGCAACGTAAAATGAAAAGTTACGGACTTTTTTCAGTGTCCGTTTTATAGAATGAACAATCCTTTGTCAGGTAGGCGTTTAAGTTAAGAACAAGTCAAAAAAGAATATGAACATGACCCGGTGATCCTAGTCCAAACAAATCTCAGCCACCCACCACCCATTTCACCCACCGTTCGGTGTCAATGTTCATGAAATGCCGGTACGGATGGTCCTGCGCATGACCGTTCATCAGCACCCGTCTTCATCGAGCACATGGAGATTCATACATGGAGAAACATTGTGGGTACCCATTTTCCATGTTAGAGGCATTTGTGTTTCCTGGATAAAAAAAAACCTACTCCCAATGTGTGTGTGTGTGTGTGCGTCAGCTTGTATTTTGTGTAGGGGGAGTTAGTTGGCTGTCAAAAATTGACAGAAAAATTTTCCACCGCTGCTGGAGAAAATTCGTGGAAAATCAGCTGGCAGTCGTGAAATCGTGATCTGAATTCTTTCCGAGTGGAGTGGTTCGAAAATCGTCTCCGGGAGGTTTCTGAATGTGATCGGTGGGCGGAAATCGAATCCCCAAACCGTATCGTGCAGTAAATTGCGGCCTGGAAAACTTAGCAATTTGTTATTCATTACTACACTATCTGGCCTTGATAGGAAGAGGGGTTAGGGAAAAATAGCCAGCCATGTCTTCTGCAGCGTACAGCAGAGTGGACGACTATCCCATGGATGATACCCTAGAGTATTTTATCAAGTTTCCTTCCCCCAACTTTAAATCTGACAGCCAAGGAGCGGAAACTGATTACGTGTTTGTTTGCAATGAAACCAATGTTCCGATCGTGCTACTGCTCGGCTGGGCCGGTTGTCAGGATAAATATCTGATGAAATACTCTAAAATATATGAAGATCGAGGGTTGGTCACTGCTATATCATACTTTTTGCTACAGAATTCTTATCTACCGCTATTTGTTTCAGGTTGATCACGATTCGATACACGGCCCCGGTAGACAATTTATTCTGGAAGCGAACCTCCATGTCGCAAATCGGAGAGAAGATATTGAAGCTGATTTATGACATGAACTTCGACAGCCATCCTTTGATTTTCCACGTCTTTTCCAACGGTGGAGCCTTTCTGTATCAGCATGTGGCGTTGGCCAACAGACGTTCCAAAAAGCCGGTGCAGATCTGTGGCATGATTTTCGATTCGGCCCCCGGCGATCGACGGGTTTTGGGATTATTTCGAGCCGTCTCTGCCATATTGGGCAAGGAAAGGCGGTTCAACAAGCTGGTGTCGGCCTTGATGACGGTTGGATTGATCTTTCTGTGGGCCTTTGAGGTAATTTGGAGCGAATTTTAACGAATGGCCGTTTTAGCTCATTGTTGTATGGTTTCAGGATTATTTCAATTATTTTCGAAGTTTCATAAGGCCTTTTGAGGTACAGACGAATCCATCGCACAATCTTAAATACGAAAGCAATGAGTGGCCACAACTATTTCTCTATTCCAGAGAAGATCGATTGATACCGCATACGGTAAGTTTTTTTTTACGCGAATTCTGTGCAATATCTTAAATTTCAAAATCGTTAATTTTATCCATTCCATAGTAAAACAATATTGTGGTTCTAGGAATTTCGTAATAATTGGTAGTTTTGTTCCTTATTGAAAAATATTAGACCCGTATTTTTTTTCTATTTTTTTTTCATTCGGGTGACCATTTTTATGTTAGGGTAACTTTTGAAGCACTAAGCCGATTTGAATGATCGAAATATCAAATGAAAGGTTATTAAAAATAATTTTTAGAAAAAAAAAAAATAAAAATTTGAGTTTTGTATAGAAGAACTTTGATTGTATTCGTTTTTTTTATTGTTTTCATGGTTTGTAGACAATGGGCGTAACACGTTTTTATATTTTTCTTTGGAAATTCAGGCTTTCCTACACAACTTATCAAAAATCAGCGATGCATTTTTCTTCGTTTTTGAGTTACGATTTTCATGTTTAGAAATTTCACTCCTTACGCTCTCCAATACGACTAGATTACCCTGCTAGATTGACAGAGTAGACATCAGCGTTGCCAGATCGTTTTCATGATTATCGGTATCAAATGATTAACAAATCGGTATTTATCGGTGTTCACTGTATGAATTAATTTTAAATTTTTTTCAAACTTTTGGACTATAATCGAAAGATGTAATTTCCATGTAAGTCGGAAGAAATTTCTGGGAAATATTTTAATTAGTTTCTTAATGGTACCGACAATACTTCCAGAGGAAGAATAAAGAAGATCTCGTGAAGAAAGTTTGAAGGAAGTTCTAAAGGATTTCGAAAAAAAACATCCGATGGGGATCTTCCAAGACAAATTTTGAGAATCTTCTGGCGATATTTTTTAGAAACTTTCGGAAAAAAAACCAGAAGCCAGAAAAGTTTGGAAATCGGAAGCCAATGCCGGAGGGGCCATTTCCAGGGGAAGTTAGGAGAAGCTCGGAAAAAAGCCCACGGATAGTGACTTATGGAGAAACTTCCAGAGGAAGGCCAAAGATACATCCGGTAGAACTTTAATTGAACTTCCTGGAGAAGATGGAAGAAACTTCCAGGAGATACTGGAACAAACTTCGTACGGTAGATTGGAAGAAACTTCTGGAAAAAGTCAGAGGTCTGAAGGCTTACGGAACAATCGTAAGATACTTCAAGGAGAAGATGGGAAAATATCTGGAAGAAATATGAACTTCCCGATTTTATATATTTTTTTTAAGTTCTTGAAACTGCCGATAAAAAACACAGAGCTTCCCTTCAAATGTTCTCACAATTTTCTAATGTTCATGTAACTTCCCTTACGTTTTCAAATCTTTCATGAACCGATGTGATGAACTAGCCTACGGCTAAAAATCACAAAAATAAAGAAAAAAAAAATTCATGAACCACTCGGAACTTAACTGAAGTTTTCGAAATTGCCAGAGTTTCTCGGAACTCATTTAAAGGTTCAGAATTTATATGTCCTGATGTTCTCAAAGCTTCCCGATGCAGAAAATATTGTGTTTTGCTGTGGCTAGCTGCGCGTACGATGAGTAGATAGAAAGAAGATTTATGACGATTTTGAAGATTTCCTGCAAAAAGATGATACGCGATGCAAGTAGATGCGAGAAATGAAAGAAGATTTTTCGAAGATTTATTCGCAAGTGTGAGATTTTTTGAGCATCTAGAATTGAGATTTAGATATGTCGCCCCCCTCGAAGCTTCCCTAAAGTTATTTCGATTCTCCTGAATCAAATGGAACTATCCTGAAAACCATTAAATTTATTTGAAGTTCTTTGGACTTGTGAAGTTTCCAAAATATTTCAGTTTCCTTAAGTTCATTGGAGTTCTCTGGGCTTTACTGAGATTCCCGGGTTCTCGAATTTGAACAGAAGGTTATGAAACGGTCTATAATTTATTGGAACCTACCCAAAAGTCCGAACTACTCTGATGTTTCAGAATTTCTGAAAAGTTCCTGGAGTTTCCCTGAATCTAATGGAACCGCAATAAAACTCTGGAAGCATTTCTGAAGTCCCGGGGAAGTTGAAAAACTGACGGGAGGAGACGGAAGAACCTTTCGAGCGAAACCAGAGGAAGCTTCCAAGGGAAGTCGAAATAACTTTCCGGGAAGAATCGGAAAATAAGTTACAGGGCAGGGTAAGGTGAACGGAAATTCCTAGGGAAAGTTGGAAGATTAAAGAAATTTCATTAACTTCAAAAATTAACGTTTTTATGGGCCTATTTTTCAACTGAATAAGTCTTTCCGATTTCCAGAAATTATTGAGATAAATCATCAGCTGTTTCTCGACTCCTTGGTAACCAAAAACGCGAGGAAATGTAAGCATTAATCGAACGAGTATCAAGCATACATTTTTGAAGATGATTTTTTAGAGCAGACTCAAAACTTTTAATTTTCAAGAAGATAAAAGTCTCTCGCAATAGTTTCCTCTGACAATTCAGTGCAGGCAGACATTAATCATTTTGATTATTAATAAAAAATCGGTACAAATCGGTACAAATTGGTATTAAAACTCAAAAACCGGTATTCCGATAAACCTTATCTGTATATCGGTATCAAGTTTTAAAATCGGTATGAATACCGATAAATCGGTATATCTGGCAACGCTGGTAGACATGCCCTTACTTCTTTTTAAATTAAAACGTTTAGGTATGACAAGTACACTGTTAAAATGGATTGGATCATACTTGACAGAAAGAACACAGATGGTCCGCTTTAAAGGAAAAATATCTTCGCCAGTTAATGTTACCTCGGGAGTTCCACAAGGATCTCATTTAGGTCCTTTATTTGTGGATGACGTGAAGTTTGTGTTATATGTTATATGCTGACGATATGAAACTGTACATGGAAATCTTTGACAATTCTGATTTGCTACATTTTCAAAATGATATTGATGTTTTCTACAATTGGTGCGTTAAAAGTCTGCTGGACATTAATGTTAAAAAATGCAATATTATTTCTTATTCCAGAAAATACACTACTCTAGATTTTACATGTTCATACTCTAGGAAACCAGCTGGTTGTAAGGTGCGATAAAATTAGGGACTGAGGAGTAATTCTTGACTCGAAGTTGACATTTGTAGATCATGTGAATACCACAATTCACAAAGCAAATGATATGTTGGGATTCATAAAAAGATTTAGTTATCATTTTAAAGACCCATATACCATCAATACACTTTATATAGCTTACGTGAGATCAATTCTCGAATATTGCAGTGTGGTATAGAATCAGTTCAAAAACAGTTTTTGTTATTTGCTCTTAGGAAACTAGGCTGGACCTCTTTTCCCCTTCCTTCTTATGAGTCCCGTTGCATGTTGATAAACATTGAAACACTTAAGAAACGAAGAGAAATTTCCATGATTTCCTTTGTTAATGATATTATCTCACAACGCGTAAATTCAGAAAAAAAATATTAGTAAGCTTAAATTTTTACGTACCATCACGCATGTTAAGAACTCGAAATGTATTTCAACTGTCACCTCACAGAACGAATTATGGTAAAAATGAACCAATCGGGTGGATCGCTGTGTAAAGTTGTTTATTATTTTCCTCTGGCTAACCTAAAAAATGTATGAAATTAGATCTGTCAAAATGAGTTTGACAGCGATTTGTTATGTATTTTCCTCGGATATTCACTAACACGCTCTCATATATCGTACCAATACAACTGGACGAGATCTAATGATGTCTAAAGATACAGTAAGGAGAACACTAACTGCTAGGCTTTCATCTCGTTAATTTTAAAACAATTTTTATTTGGGATATACGATTTTCATGTTTAGAAATTTCGCTCCTTACGCTCTCCAATACGACTAGATTACCCTGCTTCTTCATTGATACATGTCGATTGTAACATGGTTACATTTCTTACTTATTTCAATTTCTGATCCTAGACTACCATGACATTCATAGAAACTTGAATCAAATTTATTGATTGCTTTTTAGTTATGTGTAAATAATAATTACCACAGTGATTCGTAGCATAGAGATTCAAATAGAATATTTTTATATTAAATTTGGGAAGTAAATCTTTCATGGACTGTTTGGAACTCCATTTCGATATATATTTGGACTAGAATCAATGCTTTGATAAGACAATCTTATGGTTTCCAACTATACACATGGCAGGTTTGAAATAAAATTCATTAATTTGTTATATTTTTATTTTTTATTACTTGTAGACATACCTTTTGCTGGAATAATTAAAAGTCTCTTTGTAATTCAGTGTGCGCTCCTAATTTCTTCAATTTTTGCTGTCGCGAATGTATCCAGATAAACTGAGGATCGCTTTCTGGCCACCCTGATGCAGCATCGATAGGATGATGGCATATTTCCTCTATACTCAAGATTGTATGCAATTTAGAAAAGAATCGCGGATCTCTGGGACTAGTTTGGGAAATAAACAATTTCCCAGTGAATCCGGATGGGAGTTTTATGGCCACCCGGGGATTGAATCAATATAGAGCTGAGATATCGCTTCTTAACGGAAGGTTCTTCATATTTTCTAAAAAATCATAAATCTCTAGGTCTACCTCAAGAAATTGACCTTGATTCCAGTGATTTCGGATATCCAGAGGACCGTTTTGTGGTCACTCGAAGCAGCATAGATATGGTGATGGCATATTTCATCTATGCTAATGATTGTATGCAATTTGGAAAAAAAAATCGTGGATCTCTAGGTCTACTTTCAGGAATTGACCATTTTCCCGGTGTTTCCAGATATCCAGAGGACCGTTTTTTGGCCACTTGGTTGCAGAATCGATTTGGTGATGGTATATTTCCTCTATACTCAAGATTTCATGCAATAAAAAAAAAACGTGGATCTCTGGGACTACTTTTAGGAAATAACCAATTGCTCGGTAAATCCGGATATCTAGGAAGGCATTTAATGGCCACCGGAGGATCGAATCAATATGAAGTTTTACATTTTGTAAAAAAATCACGAATCTCTAGGTCTACTTTCAGGAATTGATCTTGATTCCAGTAATTCCGGATATCCAGGGGACCGTTTTCTGGCCACTTGGTTGCAGAATCGATATGGTGAAGGTTTATTTCTTCTATGCTCATGATTGTATGAAATTTATAAAAAAAATCGCGGATCTCTAGGTCTACTTTCCGGAATTGACCATTTCCGACATCCCTTAGAATTGCACCTGCATCACAATGTTACGCCAATTCACTCTATCCGTGGCTGCTTGTCTCCAATTTCTTGACCGTCTCACACTTCCAAGATCCTGCTCCACTTGGTCTAACCACCTTGCTCGCTGTGCTCCTCTTCGTCTTGTACCGGCCGGATTCGAGGCAAACACCATTTTTGCGGTATTGTTGTCCGGCATTCTTAAAACGTGTCCCGCCCATCATACCCGTCCAGCTTTCGCAACTTTCTGGATACAGGGTTTGCCATACAGTTGCGCCAGCTCGTGGTTCATCCTTCGCCTCCATACACCGTTCTCACATACCCCGCCAAAGATGGTCCTAAGCACTCGTCGTTCGAAAACACCCAGTGCTTGCAGGTCCTCCTCGAGCATCGTCCACGTCTCGTGCCCGTAGAGAACTATCGGTCTTATCATCGTCTTGTACATGGTACATTTAGTACGGAGGTGAAGTTTACCCGGCCTCAGGGTTTTGTGGAGTCCGTAGTAAGCACGACTTCCGGCAATAATACGCTGACGAATTTCTCTGCTGCAGTTGTTATCCGACGTCACCAATGATCCGATGCACATAAATTCATCCACCACCTCGAACTCATCTCCGTCGATTGTCAGTTTATCCCGCTCGGTTCCTCCAGCTAACAGATACTTTGTCTTCAACGTATTCACCTTTAATCCAACCTTCTCTGCTTCACGTTTCAGCCTGGCGTACTGCTCCGCCACGGCCTGAAACGTTCTTCCGACAATGTCCACGTCGTCAGCGAAGCAGATGAACTGGCTGGACTTATTAAAGATCGTGCCCGCATGTTAAAGCCCGCATGGTTCACAACACCTTCTAGCGCAATATTGAACAGGAGGCAGGAAAGACCATCGCCTCGTCGAAGTCCTTTGCGAGTTTCAAACGAGTCCGATAACGCACCCGATATCTTCACGCAGCACTGTACACCATCCATCGTAGCCCTGATCAGTCTGGTCAGCTTCCCGGGAAAACCGTTCTCGTCCACAATCTTCCATAGCTCGATCAGAAATATGTCTACGCAATGATTTTCAACAAGAAACTATTGAAAAAGTGTTAATGTCAAGCATTATCCAAAGTACAAATAAAAAGTTATAATACACCACCAAACTGCGCAAAAGAAAAGGAGCCAGTGTCGCTACTTGATAGCAAACTAGTTATGATGGGAGGACTCTTTGTAGCTTACCGGCGTCGTCATAATCGAGTACCACTTGGTTGCACATCATTCTGATTTAACCTGAAAAGATCTAAAAGAGCGCTGTTGTCTAGCCTCAACTCATTTTAGCTTCGGACGCCGTGGTGAGCAGGCAGCAAAAGCAGCCGTCTGGCACGCCGTGGCGGTGTCAAAATGTGATCCGTGATGCTGTCACCTATACTGAACACGCCAAGCGTAAGCGGCATCGATGTCGTCTACGCTTTGAAGCGACAGACGAACTCTGTACAGTTTCGGAGGTTAAATCATCATCAACTTTGGCAACAAAACGGCCCTTTTCTGGGCCAACAAGCTAGAATAGAATTTATCTGTCTGTTGGTCCATATTAAGAACCACATGCCCCCAACGACCACACAAAATGCTCTCCAAAGTTGTAATCCTCTAACCAAACTTGGAAGCAGGGGTGCAAGTAATTTTGATCGATTCTCTTCATCAACTTTCTCTTTGAAAAAAAAAATACTACAAATTTGGTACGCCTACAAATCAAAAACGGAAAGAGTTAAGATAATAGATGATCGATCAATTAAAAGAACTAAATTTTCTTCACATTTGTTCCGTGCCCTAGTGGTCCTACGTCAAGCTCCCGTTCGTGCCCCTAGGCACAGACCCTTCTACTTTTTTATATACTGGGCATATTACTCCCTCTTTCCACTCCTCCGGTAGCTGTTCTGTATCCCAGATCTTGACTATCAGTCAGTGCATCATCCGCTGTACCGACGAAGCCATTCCTCCTGCCGCCTTGGTCCTCCGCCTCTGCGCCGTTCAGATGTTCATCGTAGTGCTGCTTCCACCTTTCAATCACCTCACGTTCGTCCGTTAAGATACCCCCTTTCTTTATCACGACACATTTCGGCTCGCGGCACAAAGATTTGGCGGGATGCGTTGAGTGTCTTGTAGAACTTGCGTGTTTCTTGAGAACGATAAAACTGCTCCATTTCTTCGCACTCCAGCTCTTCCAGGCGGCGCTTCTTATCCCGGAAAAGATGGCTTTGCTGTCTTCGCTTCTGTTTATATCGCTCCACATTATGACGGGTTCCTTGCTGCAGCATCGCCGCCCGCGCTGCGTTCTTCTCGTCGAACCAATCGTTCCGTCAATTCCGCTCCACGAACCCAATGGCGCCTTCAGCAGCGCTGTTAATGGCTGCTTTCACGTTGCTCCAGCAGTCCTCAAGAGTGGTTTCGGTGAGCTCTCCCTCATCCGGCAACTCTGCGTCGAGGCATTGCATGTACTCAGTTGCGACTTCGGGCAGCTTCAGTCGTTCCAGATTGTACCGTGTTGTATGTTGTTGGCAACGGAAAGTTTTTTGGGCACCTTGACCATTAGAAGGTAGTGGTCCGAATCGATATTTGCGCCGAGATAGGATCACGCGCTTCTGCATTTCACCCATCACGATGAAACCTGTACCCAGCTCATGTGTATTGCCGCAGCTCTGGTAGATGGTATAACCATGCCTATACGTATGTACCGACGATCCCTTCCAGAAAACCTCCTGCAGCGCTATGATGTCGAACTTGCGGACCCTCAATAAATTGAAAAGAATGCGGGTACTTCCCAAGAAATTGAGAGACTTGCAGTTCCATGCTCCGAGTTTCCAATACTTAGTCCATTTCCGTTGCTTGGGTATATGCCGATTGTTACGGTCCGTATTTACATTTCTTGTTTCCTGTACTTTTGTTTTTTTTTTTTACGGCTGACTTGTAGGGCCTGCACCAACCCCCATTGTCTCGCCGGGGGACCATCGTGCACAGCATTGTTTAGCGTCCCACGCTGGCACTAGGACGTTGATCAGCCGCTCCTAACATCGAGAACAGACGACGTTTTAAGCCGCACCTCCATGGTGAACAGACGCTCGAAGACTGCACTCTCCGGATAGAGGAGTCCCCCCTTTCCCTGTCAGCATACGACCAAGTTCCCACCGGGGTTGGTTACCCGATCTTCCCTATGGTAACTCGTACCCCAGCCGGCACCGCGGGGAGGTAGGGATAGGAGTTACTGGATAAGAGGCTAAGGACCGCTAGTGGGGTCTATTTTATACCTGCAGATACGCGAAGAACGCAATGTCCAGCCATTTACCAGCCAAACCATTTTTCCGGTGAATCCAGATATCCAGAAGGGCATTCAATAATCCCTGCGGGACCACATCAATATGGCACTGGCATATATCTTGTCAACTAAGGGTTCTTCACATTTCCTAGAAATCCACATTTCCTAAATGGATCTCCAGGTCAACTTTTAAGAATTGACTATTTTTCCGGTGATTCCGGATATCCAGAGGACCGTATTCTGGCCACCCGGTAGCAAAATCGATATCTTGATGTCATATTTCCTCTATGCAACTGTATGCAATTTAGAAAAAAATCGCGGATATCTAGGTCTACTTTCTGGAATTGACCAATTTCCCGGTGATTCCGAATATCCAGGGGATCGTATTCTGGCCACTTGGTTGTAAAATCGATATGCTCATGATTGTATGCAATTAGAAAAAAATCGCGAATTCCTAGGTTTACTTTCAGGAATTGATTATTTTCCCGGTGAATCCGAATTTCCACAGAGCCACCTTTCACGGGTTTTATCGTTCCGAGTAGCCACCCACAACTCCAATCGGTTCCTTGTCTATTCCATTTGAAAGTAGATAGTCATACCTTTCAAGTAGTGGCTCAATCTTAAAGCTGGGTTTAGACTAGGCAAGTCAAATGATCAACTCAGTTGAATTCAATTGGCTTGCAAAGTTGAGCCTGGTTCAACTTTTTTCAATTCAAGTGAGTTGATCAAGTCAGTTGAATGGCATGGTTTACACGTTCAATTCGCGTTCAAGCCAGTTGAATTCAACTGACTTGATCAATTGACTTGCCCTGTTTAAACCCAGCTTAAGATGTGGTAACCAAATTACCGAGAACCAGTCATGTCAACATGAATCGACACGCATTTTGCTCGGGACCAAATTAGGGTCACTTAGGCCGACATTTCATACATTTCCCCTATTATGAGGAGATGAAAGTATAGAGTTGATAGTTCCGTTGGAGTACGGCAGTGTGAAAATTGTACATAGAGAGTAGAAAGGACAACTTTGAGGAAGGTATGCATCGGGTTGATAATCTCTCTTTACCAAATGCCCCAGTTGGAGAGGTATGGTGAGGGGTATAATTATAACCTGACAATAGGCTCGGGTTTGCACGGGTTGGAACTGGTTCCAACCTGGATAATAAACAAATTCGCTACAAGTCGAGAGCAAGCAAAAGAAGCGTAAAAAGCCTAGAAGACGAAGAAGTTAGCGCAACGGGAGGATGTACCGGTTGGATTTTTCATGGCATCGATGAGCTGGCCATGAGGTTAATTGAGAGTCCTTGCAGCATTAGTAATTCTTGAAACAAATTTAGAGAAGACTCGCTGCCGAGCGCCAGCCTTTTAACAATGAGTCCTCTCTCATCAATTGCTACATTACAATTTCCACACTATTTCTGTTTGCCATTACAGGACATCGAAAAGTTTGCGGCATACCGTCGGAGCTGTGGCGTCGACGTCAAGATGGTGTGTTTCGACCGATCGGAACACGTCAAGCACTACATCAGACATCCGCAACAGTACGTTTACAGTGTTTGTAAGTTCATCAACGATTGTTTAACCACATACTACAACAAATATCACACCTAAGTGGTGGCGCAGTTTGCGAATTGTTATGTGGATGGGAAAATATAGCCGCCTTGCAGCCAAAATAAATAGAAAAGAAAATTCAACCGAAATGGATTTTTCCCACGGTTCATCACCGAATGGGGATGAGATATCGTAAAAGTTTTAGAAACAAATTGAAGGTGGTTTCTCTCTTTCTGTAGCACAAGAATGGTCAACCCAAAATGCCATCAAGAATTATGCGTGTTTGCGTATTGATCTGACATGACCTTGAAACAGAACTCGAACCGAACGAAAGTATTTAATCTTCCTTTGTTACAGTTGAACAAACTCTGATAGTAAACCCAACGCTCAATATGCTTAATTTTTTTCGAATAAATTCTCAGTTTACTCAAAGTATACTCAAATATGCACAACTGCACAATCTTGAATTAAGTTTAGTTATCTATTTTTCAAGTCATTCGACACGAGCTACCGAGACTTCAATTATTTTAACGTAAGATAAGCACATACAAATAAAACGAAACATTCGTGCACTTAGCTGAAAGCAAAACAATGTATTCCGATAAAAAAAAACTTGTTACTTTAAGTCAGTAAAACTGTTATGTGATATTAACACCTGGTGCCTCGTGCATTGTTGTTCCGGTGAATGTTTCTTTGGTCTGCTAAATTGAGATTGCTTACTTCTTCGTTTCCATTATATTTTTTTTCCTGTCACGTTTGGGAAAATATATTCAAATTTTAGCACCAAAATGAGAAAAAAGCTGTTTTGTGCCTGAAATGGTAGAGAAATCCCTCGACTGTGATATTTTCCATTACAATTAACACTCAGTGGTTGATTAAAATTTCATTTTATTGATCTCAACATATATTTGATGCTGATTGCTTCTTATAAATAGAGTTCTATTTGCCTCCCTAATTAGTTGGAACATGTTGAACAAAAAAAAAATTATAATTATAATTTATTCAACTGTAACAATAATTAACGAAGATCCTCTCACTCTGTAAAGTAAGGATAAATAATGCTAAATCAATAATAATTTGAGGAGTGTCGACTATCCATGTACTTTGGGGGCTTAAGACTTTATTAACTTGATAATATATAATTTACATGACAAGCAAATAAGGCAAATAGATTGATCGTTTTCCAATGTGGAAAATTTGTCTGGTGAAAATGGCGCTTGTGTTAAGTAGCATGTCTTTGCATTAAGTAGGAAATGTCTTTTCTTTTTCACACACAAGACTTTGATTAAGTATTGAACTTTTTACGGCGATTTGAATGCTAACACTGGTTTGTTTCAATTCCTACATGCCTTATGCCTACGAATAACATTAACTGGCATTAGCTTCTAGAAAAATATTACTGGCAAATGAGTGCCAATTAATTCAGTCTTGGTTGATTTTTTTTCAATTAGCATTTTTCTGACTAGCTCTTCGGTCTACGACGCCGCTGCATTCCGCCTCTGGACCAGAATACCTCTCTATCGGCGACCATATTTCTTTAAATCATGTGACGACTGCTGGATAGATCGATGCACATCATCTAGGGTTCGAACCAGTTCGTCGAGCCCAAACAACAGACCTTCCTCGCAGTTGCCCAAGGTCCAACGTTTCCTGTGATCCAGCTTGACACCTTCGGGCAGTGGCAAAGCTTTGGCGAAATCGATTAACCACACGCCCACCTTGTGGTCGTCGTACACGATGAAAATGCTGCTGCCGACCACCTGGTGCCGCTGGAAAAACTCCGACTTTTCTATAAGCGTTCGCATTTGCTTCAGTCTTTTGCACATATCCTTGGCGACGCTTTTGCGCCCGTTGACGAAATTCGATATGGTTCCCTGGATTTCCTGGCTTGTTTTGACTGTCTTCATATCAGTAATCGGTGAGGAGCCACGCATTTTGAGTGCTTCTATCCGGAAACCTTTCTCCTGCGACGAGGACATGTTCTCCCGAAACAGCATGTACCGTAGTTTGGTGATGGCCTTTCGCTGGTGCTCCTCGGCGGTGGGAGCATGCGGATCGATGGCGATCATTTTTTTGTACAGATCTTCCCGGAGCGTCGTATTGGAGACCTCGTTCTCGGAGAACGTCCGGAAGCCGATCTTGATGTCCATCACGTTCGGATCGTGGAACCCGTGCAGCAGATCCTGCAGTTCGATAAAGTGTTCTCCATTCAGTCGGTGCACCCCGAGAAACTTGGGTACGACCTTGCTGGCGTGGGAATCGATCGACAGCTGCCGATAGGCCATAACTTCCGCGTCGTTGGGTCCGGATACGCGCTTGCGGACGATGCCATTGGCCACCGGGGCAATGCTGCAAATGAGAAAGAAAGAAGAATGTGAGTTTGGTTGTTGTCTCTGGGGCGGCGATGGTTGATAGTGTGAAATGCAAAGCGGCTGATTCGTTACGGTCGAGATGAATCATGGAAGGTGGTCTGCTTTTTATTTCTAGTGGCTAAGTGCGATGAACGCGATGCATGTCAATACCATATGGTGAGGGGCGTGAGTCATTTCAAATGGGAATGAATCATCTTTTGTCGTGTTTGGCACATTTTGAAACACTGACAAATATTGACATTATCCAAGAATTTCACGGTAATCATTATTTGTCGAGGTACTGAATGAACGAGAAGGTTTCATAGAGCGCTTTTAAACATTCCTTAGCCAAATTCGTGTAACAGATATATTTCGCAAATTTGGAAGGTTTTAAATGTTTGCAGTTTCCAAGCAGCTGTAACTACTTCCACTGCACTGTCACTCTGTGAACAATTAACGGATAGCAGTTTATGCATAATTTCCGACGGATATTGCTTATAAGCAGTTTACAAAACGAAGTAAATCCTTCATTGGACCTACGATGTCTTGATCACACTAAGGAGGAGAGAGTTTGAGTGATGAACCAATCAAGAGAGTACTCGATTCAGAACATTTCAATCAAGTTTTACCAGACAGCCAGACCGGATGGTGATCCTCATCAAGCAAACCATCTACGATTTGGACTACTGCGCTGGAACATTACTTGGTAGCTTGATACAGATTCACTTGGTCACTTGGCGAGATCGTTCTTTTTATCTTTCTTTATCTATTTATATTTAACTTCAGCTTATCGTTTACCAACACGAACCCTGCTGCAAACACAACCCTCTTACCCAACATTCCAGTGATTTGTCGTGGAAGTGCAGAGGATTTCTCGACTTCCATCAAAGCGAGTGTCACGTCAACACATTCCTACCTATTACTTTCTTGCCCTGCGTTCGGGCGCGGCCGGCGCTGGTATTGCCTAGTTTGAGATCACCGATTTAGAACACCGGTTGAGGATGATTGCTAGTCCCAAGCATTTGTCTATTGTGTAATTACAGCTGATCTGGCAATAACAGAGTAGCAACCGTGGGAGGTCAATCACCGACAAACCGACATGAATGACCATAGCAAAAGCAATAAAATTTCTGACCAAAGCACACTACTTACATCTGGCTCCATGTTAGCTGGAAATATTTAGCTAAGCCATGAACCCGCATGCAAAAGTTATGAATTGGTTCGTGTCTGATCTATTTTGGACAAATTATTTTTATTTAGATAAAAAAAATCCTATGGTTTTGACAGTTCGGATCACTGCACATTTAAATCATGCTCATGCTCATGCTCAATTTCCGACGGATGTCGCCACAAGCAACAGTAGTGACATCTGATGGCCAAAAACTGCAGAATCCATTTCCTTCGATTCATTGTTGGTTCGTAGCATACACTCAAAAAAGTCCACACGTCTGATCGAAGTGTTTAAGCGCTTGATTTTTCATATGCACAATCACATTTATTTTAAATGTATTTCACCATGGTTCAATGTGTTCTACACGTTGATTTCTAGTGTTTCAATCTTTGAAATGTTGATAGTCTTTCTCTATCAATTCAAGTGTATTGCACATTGAATCACACTACTGTTCAAACCAAGGGGGGAGGTGGCTGTCAAATACGAACAATCGTCGCCTACCTCGCATAGCTGTTTCCAAACGTAAACAAGCCATAAGAAACCTACAGCGTTTGTTTACGTTTGGAACCAGTTTCATACAAGATGATCAGTAGGCTGATTTGACAGCACGTCCCCCCCAGGTTCAAACACAGGAATTTGAAGTGTTTTGCATTTCAATGCGATGTGAATTGCTTGTTCTGCAAGGTAAACATCGAAAAAATGAGTTGTGACTTCATCCTTGTCAACCAGCCTCAGATATGAGAACAACCGTGGCCTAGTGAGATCGAACGAAGTCAACGGCAGCAGCGCACCCTAAGTTCGGGATCAATTCTAGAGTAACATTTGAAATAGGCCTATGTCCAAAACGTAAACAAACCAGAAAATGAATTTTAAATTTTGACCGTCATTATTCAATTCATATTTAAGCAAATTGAAGTATTTTAGGCATTTATATTGTTCACAATAACAATAGTAACTGTATCTCAGTATACAACATCCAAAATATGCGAAAAGCTTTCAAAATTATATGAAAATCGATAACAATATAATTTCTTAAATTAATAAGCCTTTTTTGTGAATCTTTCAATGGATAGGCCCTTTTTGTTAAGCCGTTGTGCTTGTCATCAGAAATGGTAGGCCCTTTGCTAAGTCTTTTCGCAACGTCAAATAAATTCAAAACAAATCATCGGCCCTGCTTCAAGCAGTAGGGCCTAGCTTTGGTTTGAAATTTTTCAATCATCGGCCCTTCTACGTCACTAGGCTTATCAATGAAATGAAATAAATGAATGGTTGGCCGTTTTAGCGTGCGGGCCTATTAATGAATCGAAAAATTTCGCTGATCGGCCGTTTCGAAAATCGAGTTATTTTTAATGATTTTTCTCGATTATGCGGAACTTTCCTACACGATTAGTAACTATCAAGCAGTGCTAAGGAATGGTATCAAAACCCGATTTGTTTACGTTTTGGACATAGGCCCATTTCAAATGTTACTCTAGAATTCTCAAATCAGACCAAGGGGCAAGACAGCTGTACTCAGAGTAAAAATATTTGCTGCGAGTAAATTTGAGTTGCTCATATTTACTCAAAAATGAACAAAGTAGTCTCGTATTTTTCATCATAAGAAGTTCTGGAAACAGCCACCGTCTGACAGAATGTTTTGTTTAAACATTTTCAATTAAGATTGAAAAATTATTTTGCTTTCAAGGGATTGATGATCTTCGAAGTTTTTCATGATGTGGTGGTGTGATTTCAAGACCAAAGAAGTTGGAATTTGACCTAATATTATGAGAAGATTATTTTAGCTCCTGAAAATTAATACTCAACCTCTCAAAATCTATGTAAGAGGCTTCTTGCTCTGTGAAATTAGTTTCTGGTATGAGGAAACTCAACATTACTAATTATTTATAATTGAGGTGTAGTGACCAGCAAAATTAAATTTTCAAGCTTCCATAATGGAAAATCTATATAAATCTTCGAGAATATTTTGCTAGAAAAAGTCAGAGTAATGGTCAACTGTCACTAGAAAGTTCCTGTGTTTCCCCTGATACTCATAAAAAAGACAGTTGAAAATTGTGATCAGAAACTGGTTAAATTTTCATCACCTGGTGTTGTTGTGATGATCCACATTTAGCACAAATGGAACATTGACGTCTTGAGATGTCTTTTATGCCGGCGCCGGTGGTGTAGTGGTAAGCGTGACTGCTTTCTAACACCCCGATGGGTCTGAGTTCAATCCCAGCCGAGGTCGGTGGGATTTTTCTGAGGCATAAAAATCTCTGGTCACGTCTTCCTTCGGAAGGGAAGTAAAGCCGTTGGTCCCGGCCCATATGTATGTGTGTTGAATGGGTGCGATATCCTACGCAGGTGTGGAAGCTGCCTTCCTGCCCATTCGATTGCCGTCAATGGATGGCAATCGATGTCCGTCGGTGGTTGGCACTAGATTGTGGAACAGAGACCGACGTTAAATAAAGGAAAGAAGAAGTTTGCGGTCTTTTATGTAGCTGTTCATCCCAGGTCACAATAGATTAGTTTTGGCCAACTTCATGGTTGATTCTATTTCGACACTTACATGAGCGATCGTCGAAGGGATGCAGGAATCCCTTCATCTCTTTTTTGTCATGTTACTTAGAACTGTTCAAAAATCTCCATTTGGGATGACTGTAGTCCTCCCTGAGATGGTCTGGAATCTCCCTGAAATTGTACGGAATCCTTTCTGCGATTGTTTGGGATCCTCTCTGGTCATGAATGCCCCTCAATTTTTAGTTAAATCGTCCTTGTGACTGTCCAGAATCCCTGTTGGGTTTGCCCAAAGTCCCCTCTGATATTGTCCGGAAGCCGTACTGAGAGTGTGTGAAATCTTTTCTGATAATTATCTGGAATCACCCCTAGGCTAGTTCGGAAGGGAGATTATCATAAATCCCCTTAGTTTGGTGTGCCCGGTCCGAAGCCGCGAAATCACGCGTTGATCCCTCAGGTTGTCCAGTTCGCTCCATGGTTCAGTTGACCCTGAAGACAGTTCTGTTGCGGAACCACTCGGCCTCCCATGCCGCACGAATGGCCCGCATGATCCACCGTCTGACGTCCTGTAGGGGTACCTTGTCGGTGAGTCTGGGACCCGATGTCCCGGCTCCAGCAAGGTGATCAGCAGACTCGTTACCTGGCACTCCGCAGTGTCCGGGAATCCATGTGTACACGGTGTTCGATGGGGCGTACTTGATAACCGCCTGGATCCATGGGTGTTTTGGTGCTTCCGAGGTGATCGCTTGAACGACGCTGTGTGAGTCGGTTAATACAAGTATCGGTTTGTTGGCTGGCGTCGTAGCGGCACGGAAGATCACTGCAGCTTCGGCCGAGAAAACCAAGCACTGCTGCTTTCAGCAATACCGTCTCCGAGAATCCTGATACTTACTCCGTTTATCGATTGGGAGCCGCCGGTGTACCGGTGTACGTGGTCGGTATAGTTGGATCACGGATGCATCCCCTGCTTTGAAGCGGTTCTTGATCCGATTGTCCAATTGAATACGTGAAGAGTGCCAACCTTTTTCTCCATGCCAATGGACTTTGGCCACTGGGGGAGGTCGATGTCGGCGGCCGTGCGGAGGACTCTGTTCCCCTCGTCGAGGAGAAAGATCCTATTGTTTCCGGAGGTCTTGGCGGAGAATATATTTGCGTTTAAGCAGAACCGGAAAGTAAGAAGACCCGTTTCGATGCATGCGGCGTCTGCTGAAGTGGATGGCAGGAGACCAGATATGATGCGGATGTAGCTGTTGTAGACCGGTGGTAGGGTTCTAACCAGCTTCTCGGAAGCGATGCAAGTAATTTCCGTCCCGTAAAGCAACCTACTGTCGATGATGGCTTGCGCCACCCGGAACCGAACATCGCGGTTGTTGGATCGGTGAGGCCGAGAGATCGTTTTAACGAGGTTGAGTCTACTGCGGCAGTCCTTTTTGACCTGTTGGAAATGCTGCTCCTTCCTATTTCTCTTCACTAAAAAATCCGTGGAGAGCCGAAGCCGTCAACGTGAATTGATGGACGGGATTTTGCGTCGTGTGAAGTCAACAACATTTGCCTTGTGTTACAACTGTCATTTGACAGATGAACGCATAGTTGCTTGGATTGCACTTTTTCAGTACGCGCTCGATAAAAAATATTCAGAACAAAGTTACTTGTACCGAACTTCGAAGGAACGATACATAGGCAAGAAAAAATTCCCTGATTGTTTCGAGAATTCCCTGATAACTCCATGATTTTTCCAGAGAATTTAGAATTCCCTGATAATTCCAGGTGTTCCAGGTTTTTTCCAGGTAGTCACCACCCTGTTTAGGCCGTTCGCAATGCTGAGTTTCAAAATTGTTTCAAACTCTGGACCTCAGCAATGGCATCATTCTAGTCAAATTTTATTCATCATTATGAATTTCAGCACAGCATGAATGAGAAACAAACAAACTGCAGCTTGAAACATGTTCATCGAACATAGATACAACCATTTAAAAAAACAAGTTTTGACAGGTTGGGCAGGCCTGCTCTAATAGATATCACTTGCTTCGTATTTAAAAGGTTTAAAGGGCCTTTGATTGCATTCAATCTAAATAAACTTTGTCAATCCTCGACGAATGTCCACAACCATTGCTCAAAGAAATCGACAGAAGCAAATTGCTTTCAAGGCCGTCGATGTCGTCGGGCAGAATTTGCAAAACAAATATCAGTAATCGATCGTTCGTTAAAGAATCGATCGTCGATTTATTCATTCCAGGTGTTGACCCCGGCTGAGAGATTTCAAAATGTGCGTCTTTAAAGTCCATTCGACGGAACTGGAATTTCATATTTCACAATACGTTGAAAGTCTACATAGCTCAAAGCAACCCCATTGACGAAATGCGTAAAACTAAACGCTTTCGGATGATGGGTATTAGGAATGATTGAAACCGGAAAAAGAAAAGCCCCAAGCAACGATCGCATAGGTAAGGGGTTTGGTATGAGTATTATTTATGTAAATTTGTCCAGCGATACTCGGAGACAGCTGGTTTGGATTGACGTCACCTTCTTGGTTCGGTCGAAAATTAATTCACCGAATGGAAGCTAATAAGAAAATTTTGAATGCACATAACGAAGCAGTTTAGCGTGAGGCACTAGGACCCGATCGGGTTGTTTCGTACGTAGGTATGTAGGTTTGGGAATTAATTTCTAAACACAATTCAAGAACACGAGAGGCAGATGGAGATGACGACAGCAGGGTTATCGCACCTTGCACGGAGATGATTATGGAACACAGTGATGCTAGGAGGATGGTTGCTACCCCACCCGGATTTCTTATCGTATTAATTATACGTAATGAGGCAGGGTCACTGAAACGATGACTTACCTTTTGGGATGGCCCGAGAGTTGCAGCCAACCGGAGGGAATCGCTGGGGCGTTGTGCTCCAGGAGGACGGGACTAGCGGGGGCACTCAGCTCAAGAGCATTCTGGAATGAAAACAATGCGGAAAGCACGATGAGGTTAGTAAACATTGAATGTTTGAGATGATTTGAGTAATTTTCGAGCACCATTATTGGGAGGTTCCCGCATTGGATCGTCCATGTGGATGGAAGCTTTCTGTTACTTTGAGGCAATTTTTTGAGATTCAACCAATGTAAGAATCATTATGTATGATTTTGATTAGATACCAGCGGATTGTTTGTTAATGAGAAAGATAAACAACAGTAACTTTTGAAATGTTTGTTTTGTCACTGTTTATGGTTTTCAGGCTCACACCTAGTAAACAATCTGAGTAAGATCTAATTGACACATTCTACCAGCATGTATAAACCTTTTTCTCTGTTTTTTTTGGCTGATCTCCCGAGCAAAGTCCAGCATTTAAATGACAGCAAATTTAAATTAAATCGTTATAAATATCAATCTGAAATCATAATTTGTACATTTGTTAATCAAAAATATGTTAATGCAGTTTTGTGTTCATTGCCTTAGCAGAAGATCAAATTGATTACTCGTTTTGTGATCAACAGGAAATTGAGTTTTCAGCTCTCACATAGCAGAATTTGTTTTCATTGTGATGCTACTTTTGATCAATTGTTGGTAAAAAACGTTGTAACGTCACGTAGAATATGTCAATTACATTTAGCATGAAAGCATTGACGAAGCAAAGTGAGCTCGTAACGTGTGATCAAGTTAGATCTTTGAAATGACATTTTCGCATTTCACCATTCAAGGTGACCACAGTTGATCCGTTTTAAATCGGCCTATTTTCGAATTCAGGGCACTTATGACGCACATACCATTGCTTTCTCTTGAATCGGTAATCTGATTGATAAGCATCCATTTAATTAATGGATTCATTTCATTGCTCAACATCAGCGTAAACCCGCACCAGTTGGACGTGTGGCTGTATCCCTACCCAAGGGTAGTCGACGAAAAGAAGGCGTGACCAGCAGGACCGGCCTGTCCCGAACCAATCGGAGAAGGTCTAGCACGAGTCACCGCATTGACGTCAATCGCGCGTCCCGCGGCATATCAATCGCACTCACGCGTTCACCGTGTAGCAGCGGTTGCTATTGTTAGCCACTTAGCCACAGTTCACACAAAACCGGGCAATACTGCTTGCTAATTGAACGTAGACGCCATGCATATGGGGTGGCCGGGTCCTTTGTGGTACAAGTAGCTTTTATAGTTATAATCTAATGTCTCGATTAATTTTTGAATAGGTCCTATGTCCATTTGTCGGTAAAAAAAAATCGATTAACTTGTTTCGCTTTCTACCGCGACCAGTGCAGATTTTCCCAATTCGTACAATCTTTAATTTAATCTTTGAACTTTTGATTGTTCTGTACCCGTTCGAATTTGGTGCGGTTTGATTTTGGCAACCAAACCACAAAACCGTTCGTTTTGGCACGGGGTCGAACGGTTTTGGAAAATAATGCATTTTTCTCCTTGTGTTTCCAATTTTTAATAAAAGACTAATTATTTATTTCAAAATGAAACCTTTCGAGTTTGGCCCGGTCTTATTTAGGCAACACTAAATTTTCGGGTTTGTTGCCAAAATCGAACGGTAAGCATCAATATTGCAAATCCAGTTTGCGGTAGAAAGCGAATCAATTTAATCGAAAACTGGACATAGGACCTATTCAAAAAGGACTCCAGTTAGTCAATTTTTTTTTGAATCGATGAACGTAAAACACCCAAGTTTAATAAATTTTCCTGTTCGAAATTTTGAAATCATCACTAAGGGCCGATTACTTTACCTGCGCTTAAACCTTAAACCAGTTTTATTTAGATGGGTCCTGGTTTAAGATTTAGGTGGAGGTGAAGAAATCATCACTTAGTGTCGAAAATTTGTAATAATAGCGGCACCGGTGGTGTAGTGGTTATTACCTCTCACCCCAAAAGGCCTGGGTTCAATCCCAGTCGGTGCCGCCGGGATTTACTCAGGCACAAAATCTCTGACCACGTCTTCCTTCGGAAGGGAAGTAAGCCGTTGGTCCCCGGTCTATGAATTGGTGGGTCGATGGGTAGGGTCCAGGTGTGGAAGCTGCCTCCCTGGCGTCGGTAGCATTGGTACTCAGTACGGAAAACAAGATCGACGGAAATCAAATCAAAGAAATAAAAATAAGTTTGTAACACTACAATGTTCTGAAAAAAAAAAATCATAATATTTTATTCAATGTTTACTATTATTATTATATTGAGTCCAGTAATCTGTTTGAATATTCATTATCAAGTTCTATTTTCAAACCATTCTTCCAATCGGAATTGTTCAAGCATTAAGAAATGTTTTAAAGGAATATCCAATTTTATCTTCAATTGAAGATGAATAATCGAACAAAAATACAACATCTCCATTCCTTCTTAGATTCAAAATGAACAAGCAGTAACCAATTTTTTGTAACAATATAGTTCACTATTTTGTTTTTACGGAGACAGGATTTTGGGCCAACAATTGGGTTGTTTAGCTTCAATACGACCACTTCCCACAGGACACCATACCCGTGTGTGGCTAATGTGGTTCTGGGCACTTGAGATGACAATCATTGAACTTGTTTGTGAATTCAGTATGGACACTTTATATGCTCGCTATTGATATCGTTTTCGAATTCTCCAGGGTATAGTCCTATAATTTTAAACAGAATGAGATGTCATCAACTGATGCCAGCTACCCTACATCCATTCAACCGATAAGGGCGGATGCTCGATCAAGCCATTCGTTTATAGCCGATCCCTCTCTTGCTCTCTTGCTCTCAGTCACTTGTGCACCTCCATCCATTATCAAATGCGATTGTTGTACTATTTTTAATTAATAGCTTGCCAGGCGAATGCATTTGAGCTTGCATCTCAGATGCACTGGAGCGCGAGCACCCATCGTCGTCGTCGTCGTTGATAACGAAGCGCCGTAGCTTCGTTTCTACTCATTGCATCAGCCGTCGCCTTCTTCGATCATCACAGGGTTGACAGCCTGTACAGTGTACACTTTGCTGGTGTGATCGTCTGGGGTAGGCACACTTGTTGCTTCTGCGGCTTCTGATAAGATCGTGCTTACATTTCGTAGCTCGCCGTGCATATCGGCAGCGCGTGCCTTCGGAGCGACCTTAGCACCATCGTTCCGGCTCGGGATTTGCAAAGAAGTAGACATTTTTATTATGCTATGCATCACTAGTCAAGATCGGTGCCCGTACAACGTGATGATACAGCTACGAGGTGACAGACCGTCGTCGTCGTATGACCAAGCCCAGCCAGACGATCCACCATGTGATCGAGAGACTGCTAGATGCTCTTAAATTTCCTAGCCGGTTTTCAAATGTCAACCGCCTATCAGGTTTGATGGTGGTGTGTTGTGTTTCTCCTCAACAGTTTGACTAAATTTCACATGCAGTGTTTACAATGTTATCAACAAATAGTTCACATGCGATTCGGGTTACACTTTAGAATTTTCCAAGCATCTGTGGATCCAGAACGTCGCCAATGAAAGATCATATTTCTCCACTTAACGAGTCTTCGCTTTTTAGCACGTCGCAAGTCGCAATGAATAAAGCTAATTTACATGCTAATGTAAATAAATTAGACAGACGAGAGGTCATCTATTCTTACACTACGGGTGGACTTTGTTTGTTTTACCGTACAAAACGGAGCGAGGAAAGGGGTTCATTTGATTAAAATGAATTTATAATAAACTATGTGCCTATGTGTTGTTGTTATTGTCGGCTAATGAGCCATTTGTGGAGGAGGAAGTTTAATTTGAAAAACGTGGGGAGAGCAATCAGAATGAGGGAGATGCTGCGAGCCATGGCACATATGTGCTGCTTGAATTGGCGGATGCCGGGTGGATTAGGTGATAAAACTGCGAGGTCACTGCGTTACGAACAGAGCCTAGGGTTGCATTAATGGAGATGGCTGGGTTCCGTTAGAAAAAATGAGTAGCTTTATTGTTGTTTTTTTTTTATTTATACAAAATGATTTACGGTTTGAGCGCATCCATTGTAGAAATCAATTGTCAAACCCACGACAGTAAACGATAAATCTGTCAAATAGTTTTGTGTAGATCGTACGTCCGATACCCTAGGCAGTAAATGCTTGGTCATATAACATGCTGCCGAAAATGGGTTCGATTTCCGGTTAAGATTTTTGTCCGTGTTGGATTTTTTTCTTGATTTCCCTTTGGTATGTTTAGATATGCGGTTTTTAAACTTTCGATTATTGTGATCCTCGTGACCCACCAATATTTTTTTTCCTTTGGTTTGTTTTTTCCGTCGATCTTGTTTTCCGTGCTGAGCACCAATGCTACCGACGTGCCAGGAAGGCAGCTCCCACACCTGGACCCTACCTATCGACCCATCAACTCATGAACCGGGGACCAACGGCTTTACTTCCCATCCGAAGCAAGGCGTGATCAGAGATGTTATGCCTCAGAACATCCCGGCGGCGCCGACTGGGATTGAACCTAGGCCTGCTGGGGTGAGAGGTAATCACGCTTACCACTACACCACCGGCGCCGTTAGCACACGAAGACCCACCAATATTGAAAACTGATATTGTTAGGCCAAACTGAATGGCCTTTAAACGTAAATATACTATAAAACGTCATAATACCCGAAAAATCCTGAATCACCGAAACCCCCCATCTTCTTCTTGTTTAGGTAATAAGTTCTTTGAGCATTTCCACAGTTGTTAATTGTGAAAATTTTTTTATCTGTACCTTTCATTTTGGCATTCAGTGCAAAGTGCAAGGCAAGTACAATGACATTCAATACTCAGGGGAGTCAAGACAGTCCTATCATATTGAGGAGGTTTATAGTAACATCGCTTGATTATCGGGTGTTGTGTTAAAATTTACATTGTCGGGGCCGGTTTTGAATGGTTGAAACAACAACGCGATCGTAGATTGTATGATGTGATATGAGGGGCTCAATGACCTTAGAGTGACCATTTTACTTACTGAGCAGAACATAATGAGTTTAATCCCAAGTCCCTCCACATT